CGGCAGGCTCGGCGCTGCCGCCTGGTCGTCTTCGGCGCGGAAAGTGGCGGGAGAGTCAGCCGCGGCACCCTGACGTTCTTACGACTGCTCGCGTGCGCAAGGGCTCGCCAGCAGGATCCAGCAGGCGCCGTGGTGCGCGGCGGCCGCTCGACAGGCCCTGAACCAGCGCTGGCGAGCCCAAGCCGCGTTTGCAGCGCTCCGGGCACACCATTTTTTTCTCGCAGCAGTCATGTCCGGCGAGTCCGGGTTGTCGGGTGGGGACGCGCGGTCCCGTGTTAGGGCCGGCTCAGCCGCGCAGCGGCAAGTGGCTCGGCCCTTCCGGGGCGGCCATGTCCAAGACCTCGCTCAGGTCCGGCGCATCAGTGTGTGCCGGGCCCGGGCGCGCCCGAGCGCAGTGTGACCAACGGCCATGTTGGAACGCGACGGAGAGCGCTCCACCAGCGGCGCGCCCACGCGGCTTTTGCGGGGGTGCGCCCAGGGGGGCCCTGAGCGCGCGGAAGGGTGACGAGGCGCTTGACCAGCATCACTGCATCCGTGCTCCACCGCCCACCCACCTCGCAGCCGAGCACGCAGAGGGCTTGCGCGCCCCCGTCAGCGAGCTCAGGGTATAGGTGGCGCGTTTGCGCCGCCATGCGGTGAGCAGGACTGCGCCATCCTGTGTGGCCGCGCCGAAGTGGGGCTCGCCCGCTCGCGTAAGAGGCGAGACGGGGGTCGCGTCGCGCAGCAGAGGGCTCCACCCAGTGGCGCGGCACCGTAAATGACGAAGTCAAGGCGTCTGCGGTCGTCAGGCGCGACGCCCGGATACGCCCGGTGCAAAGGTGTTGACGAGCCATTGTTGGGGCACCACATGTCCTTCAGGGCCAACAGCTTCGCGGGCAACTTTGCACCATGCTCGCTGAACCAACTTGGCGCGCTTAGCCAGGAGGCCAGTCCGGGGGCACGCGAGTGCATGGTCACCAAATGCATCAACGCAGTGGCCGCACCCAGCTTCCGAGGCGCTCCCGCAACGGCCAGGCGCGAGCGGGAGTGGAAGCCGGAGTCTGCGACGCAATGCGATTTGCATGGTTTCGGGTGCGAGCGTTTTTTTTTTTCCTCGCACCTTTTTGCTTCCGCGCCGGGAGTCCTCAGGGTCGGGGGTACTTACGGCTACGCCAGCCGGCTGGGCCCTGTTCACAGGCTGCTCGCGAGCAACTCACCCAACGGCACCTCTAGGTCGTCAGATGGGTCGCTGGGCCCCGCGATGGGCAGCTCGAGGAGCGAGCAGGCGTGCGCCCGGAGCGCTGCAAACGCAGCCTGGGCTTTCCAGCGCTGGTTCAGGGCCTGTCGAGCGGCCGCTGCGCACCACAGCGCCCGCTGGCGAGCCCTTGCCCACGCGAGCAGTCGCAAGAACGTCAGGGTGCCGCGGCTGACTCGCCCGCCAACTTCAACGCCGAAGACAACCATGCAGGCGGTAGCGCCGAGCCTGCCGCAGTTCCGGG